GGGTCCTCCGGAGGACCCGTCCTGCCGTTTTGGACACAGCCATTGTCTCATTGGTCTCTTCGTGTCCCTGTGATGGACTGAAGACCTGGACCAGTCCAGAGTGTCTCCACCTCTCACACAGTGACTGCTGGAGACAGACACCTGTTTATTGTTGTGATTGTGTTGATCAAAGTGGATCAGTGGGCTACACTACAGGACAGTCTGGGTGAAGTTTGTTCTGACTGGACCCTGGGTGGTCTCTGGTGGTGTGCTGTCAGTAACACAACATTTAGTCCTGGTTAATCCAGCAGAATAAACACAGGAATGATGTTCACAGTTAAACAGCTGTCAGCTGAATATGTTTGACTTTAACAGGTTAWYTCTGAACACCTGAATTTCCCCTAYGTGGGACAATAAAGGTTYTTTCTATTCTTCTCTGACACGGACGTCTCCAATAARTTTATTTTACTTTTATTTCTCTACTGAGCCTAGTAAGTAAAAACAGACTATCAAGAGGTAAATCTACAAAAATCTGAACCGTGTTACTTTCAAAACAGTGAATAGTTCAACAAATTATTTGTTTTTGTAAAACACTGCTGGTGGCAAACAGCCTAATACTCAAGTTAAACTTGTATTTTATATATAAATGAATAAATAATGACTGAATTATGGAATTCTGACATATAAAAAGCAAAGTGATGATAAATTTATATGGTTTAATAMTTATTCCTCAGGTCTTTCCAGACTGTTTCCCCAAACAAGCTGCAGAGAGCCAATCAAAACAGAGCAGGCTCCCAGTTCAACCAATCATTATCTTAGACCCGCCCACTGTCCGAGCTGCACCAATCCGCTGCGTCAGCGCCAGTGGAAGCAGACCAATCAGTCTTTAGTTAGCGAAGTTTTAGGGCGGGATCAACAATAAGCCCCGCCCCCCTAACGCAAGATTATGGCCAGACTAAAATGAGCCAAAGTACCGATGTAACGGAGACGAGCACMGCGAAAACTTCCGATGTTTTCTATTAAAAGTCAAACCGTGTGCGCATAAGACTGTTGACYGATTATAAATGATAAATGTGTGGGCGGAAACACGGACGGTGGCGGCGGAAACACCGGCGTTTCTCCGCCGAACAGTGGTGCAGAAAGAGGAGCCTTTTTTCTGTTCACCTCGGCGGCTGCTGCTGCTCCTGCCCGCCGCCTCGCTGCTCCACAGCAGCCTGCTMTAACTAAAACAACAGCTCCTGTCTAACTTCAACAACCACACAGGCTCAGATCATAAAACATAAAAACACCGGCACCGTTCAGCTCACCAGGGATGGATTTATCAGGTTTCCTTCCGCCGAAACAGGACTGTTGTGTTTCAGTCAGATATTTACTACGCCTGTCTCACACAATGGAAGCAGAGAGGAAACAAAATGGCGCCGGGTCGTCGTCATCATCTCGTCATCATCATCATCATCATCATCATCATCATCATCATCATCATCATCATCATCATCGGTCCCATCAGGACATGGAGCCAAACTACTTCTGTTGAGGGGATAAATTTATTAAATAATTAGTTTTATTCAGAATTGCGGCAGGTTTTCTATACTATACAAATAATAATAATGAAAAAATAAATAAAATAAAATAATAACTCAGATCATTCCTGAATACTCTGGTAGAAAATAAAAARCAGGCACATTATTTAAATGGAATTTTTTACATCATTTAACAAGATCAGATTAATCTGATTTCATATAAAACATCACACCATAATACATTTTTTGTCCTGGYTTAAAGACAGACAGACTTTAATCATCCTGTGAATCTCAGCTTTCAATGTGACATTAAAATGTCCTCTTTTATGATTTAGTTCAAATTTATTTCAAACATGTATNATGAATTAAATGTTTCTGTGCAGCTATATAGTCCTAAACCCTCTATCAAACTAGAAAGAACCGGTCTGGAAGCTGGAGGGGGGTGGGAGGTGAAACTCCTCGTTCAGTTTTAAAGAGACAGCCTCAAAACGGGTTGATCTGAGACACACCTCAGAAAAGGGGCGGGGCTTGAGGAGTTGTATATTTTCCTACAGCCCTGGTTACCTGTAACGATGGGGTTTCTTGACCCCCCCAGTGGAGGGGGCACTCTTGCGAGCAGCCTTGGTGGCCAGTTGCTTCCGYGGAGCTTTTCCTCCGGTGGACTTACGAGCTGTCTGCTTGGTACGAGCCATGACMTCAGAGTATCACCTAAAGGCAACAAAATGACTCTTTATAAAATCAYTTCATCATCATGAAAATAAGAAACAACATCTTTAAAAGACAAGTCAAATATCAAAACAAATATCTTGAGCCATGCTCCCTGTCTGAATGATGCATCGGGAAACAGCAGCTCCATAAAAATAAAATGGTCCTCACAGAGATAGAAAGATGTGTGTGTGTGTGTGATTAGATGRGCGATGAAAACTCTGCCTTTTTTAAATCACATTGCACCAATGCGACAGCTTTGCAAGCTACTTTTTCTTTCTTTAAAAGAAAACGTGACAGGTGAAGCCGCAGCATGGTTACCTTATTAATAATTARTTTATATATTACAGCAAGAATCACCAACACAGACCCTGTGTGACCAGGTTCCCGCGAGTCTTGTCATGTTCTATAAATAGCGCTGATCAGCAGCGCAGCTACAATAATGTAATGTCCTCAACTTTTAAAAAATTAACGAGTAGTTTGTGAACTCAAAACACCATAAATCCAGACAGAACCAGCTGCTGTACAGGTCCTGCTGGACTCAAACACCGAGCTGAGCTACTCTCCTCTCTCACACCCCGCAGGTCAGACAGTCCCGTTCAGGAGCATTAACCCTTAAGGGCCCAGACTATAACCGGTCTTTAAAATGTGGTAAATATATTATTTTCAGGGGGAAGTTTTTTTTATAGTTGCATATTTAACTGTTTTCCTTTATATTTACAAGAGTTAGATCTTCTAGGGTTCTAATGATTATTAGAAAGGACATGATTTGAGGTTTTTACTGATATTTTATCCAAAACATGTTACAGAAGTCATAAGAAACAGTTTGTTTTGGACAAACATTACAAACGTGTTCATTCCTACAAAACTGTCAAATATATTTACAAACAACACTAAACTGATTCAGATTAACATAAAATAAATCATGTTTTATAATTAAATGTATGTTTCCTGCCATAAAGAAAAATCCTCCTCCTGTCCTCCTTGTTCCTAATCAGGGTCAGGGTGGGGCTGGAACAAGGAATGCGCGATATAAACGATATACGGTAGAAACTTTATAAATTTGTCCTATGATAGAGATCTGTAGTCTACCGGCCAACCGCGCAATTTTTTGATGACGTAACCGGCTGGAGTCAAAACAGAGGAAGTGGGAAGCAGCGTGGCTGAGAGCGCAAATGAAGAGGGGGAAAAAAAAGTATCCGGACTTGGTTCGGGTGTGTGAAAATMAACYCCGAACTGTTWACATGTTTACGTGACGGCGCGTCCTCCTGTCGGATGCCGACC